GGGGCTTCTAAGTGTATAGATCTCGCATCATTCCATGTCACTTGTCACTCTATTGATGTTTGTTGACCCCAATCCGTTCAAACACCTTTACCTTCATGACAAGGGTGCTCATCAAGAATCTCAGGCATTTTCACGGGACAAAGAGTAGTTTGATCATCCGTCATGATCGCAGTCCTTCAGCTGGCTTCGCATCTGCCTTGGAGGTCATTCAACGTTCCTTGTCGGCCTTGGAGGCCGAAGGAGTAGTGAGCAGCTGAGTTTCGAGCCGACTGTAGGAGCCATATGACAAGCACCCTGGAAACAACGCCAAGCACACAAATCCAGCATATTTGCTGTAGATGTGGACTTCAGATTCATTTATTTTGCAATTGTTGGAGTATGTAACAGCAATGTATGGCGGATTGATCATGTGATTGCACTGTGCCATTTTCCATTCACTAAAGTGTATTCTCGGGGCATGTCTGAGGTTCAGACGCGCCAACTCCTCCAACTTTACCCTCAGGATTTTGACGCGGTGGCTATGCCACTACTGCTCAAGAGCAGGCGAGGGTATGGGTAGAGCATGGTATGGCAACACAAGCACAGGCCACATTCCAAGATTGGCATCCCATCTATGTACCGGCCCATGCCCAGACCCGCACCTCCAACACATACATGTCAAGGATATATGTCAAGGCTTACTCATCTACCATGCATCCACCCTCCTGTCACTTGATAGCCCACCATGCTTCTTCTTTACCCACGCATCCCTTTTGTTGCCTGCATGATCCAGCTCATGTTAAGCCATGTGTTCTCATGTGCAACCCATTTGCTCATGCTCATAAGCCGCCTCCGCCGCATCCACGCGCCTGACTCCGCTGCATCCACTGCCCCCCCATAGGCTGCGGAGGGTCCGTGAGCGCGGCGGGAAGATCCCGGAGGCTCGCAACCCGATGTACTCATCTCGTTATGAACGCCTCATGTACTTCTTGAAGGGGCAAAAAATACGCTGTTTTTTCCTATTGCTTCCTTATACTGTATATTATAGTATATATTATATGTATATATATATATACAAATGTTTCCATATAATTTTGATAAACATCGATGTTCAACGTCTGAAAAACACGTTCTTCATGATGCCACACAATGACACACCGCATTCCAATGGACATAAATTACTGTTTAAAGGGGTCAGCATTGTTTCTGGGGTCAATACCAGTGACAGAATTGGTGGCTTTGGCATGCTTTGGCTGGTGCAGCTGGGGTTGAGGGTCTTCTAAAGACTGAGGCAACCCCAAGACAGGAGAATGCCATGTTTAGGCCTATCTGGCAATCTAGTCGTCCCATGAGTCCCAAAAGAAATCCCTATGTTTATAAGATTTACTGTAGTAAGTAGGAGTAGGAGCCCTCAGTTCACCTTCAGAGCCCTCAGTTCATCTTCACCATCGACTGGTTTTTATGCGCGCAGACCCTCTCTAGCAACGTGGTTCAGGACCTCATCGGCCACAAGAAACAGCAGGAGGAGCCGGAGCCGGAACCCAGCGAGGCTGGGCTGTGTAGATTCGGGTTCTCATGGTAAGTCTCTCGATGCAAGTTGATTCAAGTCACGGGGGTCTCTACCGAGGGGAGGGAGGGAGGGAGGCAGAGAGAGAGAGAGAGGGAGAGAGAGAGATGTAAACCCTTGAAACTGAACGCTCAAGTGATGCACGACCTCTTCGCTACTGGTAGACCATTTCCAAATTTGATCACCTTTTTTTCCTCATACCGAAGCAGTCTCCGTGGGCGAGCGGCTTCTTGGAGTGGTCAGCCTGAAGAGGATGATGGACTCAGCAGCTCCAGACTCTAGCAGCTCCTGATGGGTTCAGTTCATCCATTCTAAATCCCTTGACCTGTGAGGCAATAGACGCCCCCCTGGAAATGCAAAAGGTGTATATAATAATATAATATTTTGTATTTCATTCAGCTCAGAAGCCATGAAGCCTCATGCGTTTGACACCTCGATGGGGCATCCAGCACTGCCTGATCTAATGCTCCTAGGAGATGCATCCGTGGGCTGGACATGACCATCCCAGCTTTTTTTAAATTGCTTCCCCAACTCTGTTAAATCCTTTTTGCAACCTTTTGGGATCTCTTTGCCCCCGAGTTCGGCAAGCCCTCGCGGCGTCGTTCGGTTCGGCTTGCACCCGTCATCGACGAGCCGGGACTCGTGACTCCCGCGGGCGGCGACCACAGGCGCACGAGGGCGGTGGCCTGAGAGGGGCCTGGTGTTGGACACATGACCCACATCGACATGAGATCCAGTGGATGTGGAGCCAAGCAGTACAGTAAGCTGTCCATTCTTGCGGATGGTGAGCAAATAAGTTACAAGTTACAACACATATCAACAGACATTAAATGCATTAACCAGATAGGAGTGCAGCAACCAGCGGCTTTTAGAAGGGGATCAGTGTCTCTTGGAACTTGCAGGAGGATACCACCAACTATTTAATTTTCATGCATTGCATTCCCGTTTGTCTTTTTTTGGACCGAATGAATGGATGCATATCCGCCCCTTACCCACTTTCTCGATGATGTATGTATATATTATGTGTGTGTGCACCATCCTTTGGTGGTACATGCAAGCAACGGTGTGGGTGGTTTCAATTGAGAACCCCCCTCAACATTCCCTGCCTTTGCCTTTTGGGGCCAATTGCATGTCGTGAGGTCACGGTCTCTCGCGGAGTCTCGAGGCTCCTGTTTATGCGGTAGGTTCGCCTCAAGGACAGCGCTCATGGATTGGCATATTGGAGACCACCACATGTTCACACCCAAGCCATCGGGGGCAGCACATGCTTTGGACAGCTTTCGTTTCAGCCTTTGTTCGGACGGCCAGTGCATCCTGCAGCTGGCTCAGTGCTCCCGATCCGCCGGCCCCCCCACAAACCTTGCTTCCGCAAGATGACGGGTCACTGGGCAGCACTGGTGCGGGGCATCAGCCAGACCTCCACAAACGAAAGGCTCCAAGCTTGGATTGGTGAAGATACACCCCTCCACACACGAAGGCCTTTGGGCAGGTGCAGATGAGGGTTTTTTTGAGGTTCCAGATACAGCAACAGTAACTACAGTATGTAGGCTGTAGGCATGCTTTGTCGTATGTGGTGCACAGATGTGCACAGGAGGGAGCTGAATAGACCTGCTTTACATTGCTTTGATTTGGGACAGTTTGAAATGGGATACACGAGCTTTTCCCAGCTATGCTGGCCCAGCTATTCTGGGCAACTCGACGTCACCGTTCCGACCCGAAGTCCGACCATGTCCGACCTGTTGTGCCCTTGTGGAACCGTCGGGACCCATCGGGACCCGTCGGACCTTTGACGAGGCACTTCTTTCAAATAGCTTCTTGTTACTACTAGTAAGGCACTTGTTACTAGAAGCGATGCACTTTGTTCCTAGTAGCGTCCTAACCCGTCAATAGAAGATTATAAGGGAGTTTACTGATCAAGAGCTCAAGGAGATTCAAGGAATGTTTTTTTTTTTTCTCTCTCTCTCTCTCTCTCTTTTTGTCCTTCCACTTGCTCTCCAAAGCTGATACAACAAGACGTATCAAGACTGTTCGCTACACGTGTGGGACAGTTTGGAAAGGTCCGTGGATGAAATCTCTAATATGCGCCTACTATTCGGATGTATACATCCCACTGGCTCCGCTAGAAAGATTGAATGTTGACAAGGACTCGATGGACTGCATCTTCTAATGCCCTGTGTTTTGGTAAGACGCGAGGAACATGATCCAGATTGTTTGTGTTCCCCTTGTGCAGCCATTGCGGGCCATTGCGGACTTTAATATACCATGACCATGGTTATGAAGTTTGCTTCGCAACAATGGTGGGCTTTTGATGATCCCCACCCCCTCCAGACTCAGACTTACAAGATCCGAGTTTTGGCCTGGAGTCTGACGGAGTGTGGAGGAATGATCTGGAACCAGCAAGTTTTGCAAGAGGTCCTAGACCGAATGGACATCAAAATCCATTTGCAGTTACCTGATGCTTCAAGCTTTTCTTGTTCGAGTGGATCTCAGGCATGTGACAATCCAAATAGCTGGTCCAAGGTGTAGGTCGGGATACGCAGAGTCGAGAATTCGAGATAAAACAAGTAGACGTTGGTGGCTGAGTCACCGGAAATTCAATGTCCTTTCTTTTACACCCAATTGAGCAGCTTCAAAAACCTCTATGATGAAAAGTGTGCAAACTGCAATCTCACATTCTTTCGCGAAAGCCAAAACGCAGGTCGCGAAAGGTTCGCGAAAGCCCCGCGAAAGAAAACCAGAAGAACAGCGTCGCGAAAGCTTTCGCGAAAGTCGAATTTCTTGTGCATGTCGTGTGTGGGCGACTATATGTTTAAGTAGGCAGCCGCAGCCAGCCAGTCAGCCAGCCAGCCAGCCAGCACTGAAGAGCAAGTGTTTCAGGGAAAATCGAAAATCCCAGACGAATTCCTGCGAAAGCCGCGCGAAAGCCTCGCGAAAGAACCGCGAAAGTCGAAAATCTCCGGGAAAGGTAGCCCCTAAAAGTTTCCGCAAGTTTTCCTCCTCTTTTGATGACAGCAATAATACTTGAACGGTGCTGCTACAACTCCTTGTGCCAGGATGTTCCCGGAAAGAAATTTGCTCAGCTTTGACCACCTTAAGGACACTTATACAGGTAATAACTTAGATCAATCAATCGCATTATTATATAACATCCTAATCGAATTTCCCGATCGAAAACGAATCGCCGCGAAAGCCGCCGCGAAAGACCCACATAACACCACACCTTCCGCGAAAGCTAAAATGCAGGCCGCGAAAGCTCCGCGAAAGCTCTGCGAAAGCTGGATTATACAAAAAAGTAATTTATAGGTGTTTTCGAAGCTGCTCAATTGACTCACTTGACAACTGAATTGAAGGTCCGGCTCCGCCTCTAGGAAGGGCAGAGCCTCACCCAAAAGCGGCTGGACCGATCAATCCACCGGAAAAGGGGGCCGGACCGGAGCTCGCCCGTGACGTCCCAGGCGCACCTTCGGCTGGGCCTTGCATGGCCGGCAATTTGTTGTCCATTTGTGGCACCATCACCTCCGTCCTTACGGTGCGGCCTGGGAGTGAAGAGGTCAGAGAAGAGTGAACGCACCTTGGGAGTAGAAGGAAACATAAGAAACACACATATTTTCGTTCATGAACACCGATATAGTGGATCCAAGTGGTGTATTTGCTGTTATGATCTGGAGATATTTGGAGACAGATCCAGTCAGACTTCTCGATGATTGAACGAAGGCTGCATGTTGGGGGTGTATGTACTGATTGAAACGGTTTAGGTTTAGGGCCAGTTTCAGTGCGACAGCATCTCGGAAGATCAACTGATTTTGCATGGAGCCCCAGAATCCGGGTTGAGTACTGTACTTAAATGGAGGAGGCTGTTTTCCCGCCATCCCTGCATTGACCAGTGCCAGTTCATGCCAGCTCCTTCTTTCATCTTCTTTCCAGTCAGCAAGAATTCAGTGGCTAGACTCTAGACAGTCTTTGTGTCGTGGTGACCGTTCAACTCAAATGCCCAGATTTTGGGTGGAAAGAGGTTTTGCATTCAATCGCGCTCTCTCTCTCTCTCTTCCCTATACCGTATATACATTTACACTATTTGACAATTAGATACAATTGTAATATATATATATATATGATTCACATGCTTATATATATATGATGCACATATGATCAAAGAACAGAGGTTCCTTGACTTGCAGTAGAATGTGTGTGTGGCTTTCCTAGCCTTCAACACCATGCCATTCTAGCATCCTCAAAGATATCTCAAGACCCGTGTTCTGATTTTCTAGGTGTCATGTCATATGTCTTCGGTTTGAGTGTCCGGCCAGATTATCATTGGTCTCATTTACGTTGCAAACAAGCCGCCCAAATTCATCTACTATTGGAATACTTGCTCCTGGGTGATGGACTCGGCAACCAGCATCTTGACGGATCGGGATCGCGACCTTGGGGCGGATCGGCGTGAAGAATTGGGGAAGCCCAGGGAAGCACCTTTGGATTCAGGATCATGAAACTCATTGAGAATCAAACATATAAAGAATCTAGATGGCATCCTCTTTCTCATGCAGCTCTTTCCCCTGACGTTGAAGTCAGACATTGAAAAAGCCTCGACAAGGTTCTTTGAGCTGAGAAACCGCGGTCATTTGTGGGTTAATCGTCGACCAACACCCAGCGCCCTTGGACCCGGCGCCAATTCTCCGTGTCCGAGACGCAGACCGAATCGAGATTGGGGGCATGTTTTGGCCGGATGATTTCACGAAAGAATTCATGATACGAGCTCGGGCATCATGTGAGTGAGGGGCTTTCTTTCGGAAAGTCAATCATGGGTGGATTCAGAAACTGTTGTAAATATTTGATGTGTCACCTGACCTGAAGCTTCGTGCATGTACCTGCACGGCCTCTTTTTTCCCTGTGGTGCTCCCTCATCAGCTCATCAAACCAGACAGATTCCTTTGTTGCCTTTGTGGGAATTCTTCAGTGAACCCTATGATATTCGGTGATGTTCCATATGACAATGACAATGATGACAGAGTGGGCACGAACCACCTACCCCGAGCGGGAGATCTCACCACGTGGCAAGGCACGGATTGCAATCAATTGTGGCAGAACAACTTTGGCACCACGGCTGGATGGTTGAGAGAAGGAGGAAGGGTGCACTGGGCACAGAAGTGACAAGGGTGCACCTTCCTTCTAACAATCGAGGTGGAAAGTGGTGGACCACCGGAAAGGACAAGCATCCACACCGCTGAAGCACAGTTGTGATCGTAAACCAAGGGTAGCAGCCGGTAGCAGCAGTTATCTTATATAACTAGTGGTTGGGACTCAAGGTCACTATTATTGGACTGCACACAAACGGAAGAGTCCAATACCCACTGGCAGACCTAGTGGACCCACAGAGCGGGGCCCCGGGGCACAAGTTGGGTCTATGTTTGATTTCTGCTGGGTGCATGTGCGCATCATTGCACTACCATCATCTCTTTTTCATCACTCTCCCTCATGTCAACAGCTCAGGTATGACAGCGGTGCCTAAATACACCGCCCTGATCTTTGGCCTCATTGGCACTGCCATGCTCCAGCCGCTGGCAATGCAGGCAGGGGCCAGTGCCCTTCCCATCATGCTCCAGCCCCAAGGTGTTGGAAGAGAGGATTCGTTGCATCTACCCTCCCAACATCAGTAAACACCCGGGGCGCTCCCTCCCCCCCACATGCCCAAGAGTACTCCACTTGATCCAAGACATCCAACCTTCCTGCTTGGATCAAAGAAATCGGCCTTTTCTTCGAGGAGGTGGGCGTTTTCACGGAGAACATGTAACGTCCAAAGAGGGATCGCGGGCTGTGGCTTGAGTCTTGCCCCTATTTCGGGATGCATCTTGGTCGCACTCATTCGAAGCCACCGCGCCAGGTGTGTGGATTCCCTCGCAACTTTGTGCAGTACGGCCGGGACGCCCGGTCTTCGCCCGGTCGGCGTTGGGACGGCGTTGTGGACGGGACGAAGGTCGAACACACGCGGTGAAGCAACATTTTGGGACGGAGAGATGCAACTCCTGCAGCATGGGGGGGATGATTGGACATGCCTAATTAAGTGTGGTCCACTTTTGTATAGATCATAGGCTAAAGCCCAAAACTGGGTATCCTGCCCCTCCCAGGCTTGTTCCTGTGGCTGCAGGGCTTCTATGGTGACTTTGGCTACTGCGGAAAGCTTCTTGGCGATGAATCATACAGCCTTTGGATGAGTTTGATCGAAGCTGACTATGGCGTATGTGATGTAACTATTTTAAAGTTCATTTTATACAATAGGACTGCAGTTGCCTCTTTCTGAGACAACTAATCTTAAGGACGAATCCGGATCGGCTGTACACGCGGAATCCGGATCGGTGGTACACGCAGTTCGGCTGAAGAAAAGACCAGCTTGCAAGAGGCCGGCTGCAGTCGAAGAGTTTCCAGCTAGGGTGCAGCGCGTTCATGATGGCCTGCCGTGGGCGTTAGACGAGTTCACATCACCACCCCATCCCCACCCCATATGCCTATATGATGCACATGGTTGCATGATGTTGCATGGCTTTGGACAAAGCATGACCAATGGGAGATTGTTTCAGGATGTTTCAGGCACAAACCCACACCAGCTTTTCTTGAGGCTCGGGGTGTGGGTGGGCTGCCTGAGCTGCTTCGTCGGGACCGTGTGCCACTTGGCGTTTGATGCTGGCGAGTCGAATTGTTGCAGCTCCTTTGGATCTGTGGTGCAAAAGTGTTCTTTCCCTCTGCGGGTCCAGGCAAGGGTTGCCAAAGTTTGGGAACTTCATTGAGAACCCCCAAGACGTTTTTTGGAGGCAGACGTCTTGAGCAGGTCAGCCGGAAAGAAGCCATATAAAAGTTTTTGGAGGTGCACTGTGTTCTGAAGGAACAACAGGTTGGACAAATATATATATATATACGCATACTGTATATACGTGTATATATATATATTTATAGATCAATGGAGGTGATTCAATGTCGGAATAGGGTTCTTCAGTCATTTAGGCGTGACCCATCTAACCATCTATTTGTTTTATTTTGATTCTGATGAAGCTTTTCTGAGAAACACTGGGGTCTGAATCAGGCTAGTGTGCTAGTACCCCCAAGGCCTTGCCTCCCAACCTAGTCTCTTTTGATTCCTTCAAGGCAAAGCAGATCAAAAACAAAGTACGAACATCCAAAACACAAAAACAACGAAGAGGCTTGAAGAAGATCCACCCTTACCTCCCACACCTTCAGAAACAGCCTTGCAAACCGGATCATTTTCACTACCTCACTCCCCGAACGGGCCTTGAATGGGTCAAGGCTTTATTGGCGCCTGGTTCGATTTGAAGAGCTCCCGGATGCTCCGATTAGAGGAAGAGTACAAGGCACCTGGGGGAGACGCCAGGCAGGAGCAGGGCTCCATCCGGTGCAGGGATTCCAGCGCCCTTCACACCCCCACCAGGCAGGCCCACTGGCCCTTCTCCACACGCACTGCATGGGAGTAGACATCAACTCTTGACATCGTGAGTGTTTCGGGGCAAAACCCCGCAAAAGAGCGGGACGGTATGACCCAAAGCTCGTAGAAATCAGGTGGTTGCAGATTGGGCAGTTATTTTGGACATTTTTTGGTTTCAACACTGGCTACTGTAGGGAGCCAGCATGAGATGGGGCAAGGAACGCCAGGTAAGGAGGAAGATGATGGAGAAAACGCTCTTTGTGAAACAGCGCCTGTGTAGCGGTTCATCTTCGCTTGTGGTGTCTTTTAGAGAGCGTTAACTTAGCAAGTTAGCTTAATTGTGATCATGGCCTGGTCTTCGTTCGGATCACTGCTCATCCTTTGGCTCCCGGCCATCCCCATGCAATCAATGGTCAATGGTGATAGTGACAGCGCTGTCCAGCGCGCCAGTACATGTATGATGCGGAGGACTTTGAGTACACTGCAACTCGACTGTGATGTGATGTGCCTTCTTCCGAGACCCAAGCGGATCGTTCTTGTATGTTCTTGCCTGTGCTATATTCAAAGGATTCAATGATATACGGTATACGGTTTTATAGATTTATCATTTATCAATATTTATTAGCATAACGACATATATACACATTGTACACTAAGCAATCATCGAGCGAAGAAACATCACAAAGAGGATCCATTGTGGCTGAACTACGCCAACACCTGAGGGCAGGGAAAGGACAAAGCAAGGTTTAACCGGTCCATTCCATGCCACACTTTTTTCCGAAAGAGAGATTTTCCAGCCACCCAAGGCGGCTGGGGCAGCAGCAGGAGATCCTTGGCACCCAAAACGGGCGCGGCGCGGGGTTCTGGGACCAGGCGGTAAGTCAGAACCTTCAGCGAGCCCACCGGAGGTCGTGTCAAACACCTTTGTGTGGTGGAAACCACCGGTGCCTTTCAATGCGCTGCATATTTTCCTGCATTAGTGGTGCCACGTTCGGAGATTTCCACTTGGGGATATGTGATGTTTCCCATGTTTGGTCATATGATATCATACGAGAAAGCAAGACATCCATCCAAAGTCTTTGGATAGATGCCTTGCTTTCTCAATGCTTTCTCATATAACACCACGTTGGGAGGTACTAGTACTCCGGCGTAGAGAAGTGAACACATTGATTCAACAATTCTTGCCTCCAACTTATATGGAACTTTAATTGTGTGGCCAAGTGAAGCCTTTTGGAATCGCATTGCAATTGGAACGTCTTGAGTTTTAGGAACCGCGTGACACTGGGAATCGGCTTCGGATCTGGTGAGCAAGTTCCTCCCGCTCACTTGGACCAACTCCCTCCCGTGGGCACAAGCGCCGTCCCCGTAGGACGACTCGACGCTTGGAACTAACATGTAAGTAGATCCCCGCCCGGATTGTGGAGCCGCGTCCGATCGCTCGGTTCGAGTCGCGATGCCAGCCCCGTCCGTAGCGTCCTTTGCTCCTCGAAACCCATGCCATCCACGAAACCATGTCGAGTTGCGGGGCGTCTCGTGCCTGCCTGAGGCGGCCATGGTGGCCGGGGAGGCGTGGGGACCCGGCGATCCCATCCGTGTTGGCGCACGAAGTCGAGCCTCACAAAGGCGAGCATGTCATGGCTTCAAATCTGTCCCTATGGATCCACAGACCGAACCTGAGAAGGACTATTTATGTAGGCGCCAGGAGGGTCCAATTACCGAACCTGAGAAGGTATGTGGATCCATAGGGTTGAAAGCGCACTAACACTCCCAATATGGGTGCATTGTCTCTTGATCCAGGGTCGATTTGTTCGGACTAAGAACACTTCAGATGATCAGATAAGTTGACCTCGCTTAGACTTAAAAATCTACTGCTGTAGTCTAGATTCTAGATGTTTTCATTATAACACCGGTGAGGAAATCAAACCTGCTTTGAGGACTATTGCTAAACTCCTGTGCCTGGCAAGACAATGTTCAACTACACATTCGGCGAGCATGAACGGATTAGCTAAGTACAGGCAAAGATGGCAAACAGATTGCTGAAATCCTACGCGCCTTAGGGTGTGCTTGAGATGTCAGTCTCAGGATAGTGTGCAAGCATTGATTTACGTCAAATTTGGATGTGTTACCGAGTGTTTTGTTGCATGTCAACATTCCCACACGTAGAAGATTACACAAACCATAGGCAAGGCTCTATTATATATATATATATTATATTATATTATATGTACATATATTTGCTTATATATATATATACTTTGTATTTTTTCAATTTTACTCAACAGTGGCACAGTGGCACTGGACCATACTCAACCCCCAAGAGAGAGAGAGAGAGGGAGGGAGGGAGGGAGGGAGGGAGGAGGGGAGAGGAGAGGAGAGGAGAGGAGAGGAGAGGAGAGGAGAGGAGAGGTTGAACTCGGAAGCCTGGCTGCAGAGAACATAAAGACCGGACATGTTCAATCAGTTCAATCATGATATCGCAACCATTGCCAATCCCCTCGAGTCCTGCCTAGGTGCCACTTGTTTTCACCCAACGTGAGTAGTAGTCTCCAACTTCAAAACCGAGGCATCTCCTGACAGCAAGGACCTTTTTGACAAGTTGCTTCGCCGAACGGGCAGTTGGAAGGGGAGGTTTCGGGGCACACGGGGGTCCAACACGTCAAGGATGGAAGTGGATCCGTTGAATAAGCCAGAAGGATTCTCTCGTAACCTTTTCAAAAGCATGAGGGTACGATTATATAGACCTTGTGTTGGTTGCACTTGCACATGGGTTGGAGCACGTGTTGCACCCTTTTTTGCAAGAAAGCACCTTTACTGTACTCATGTATCTCATTTCAACCCAGCACGACCGCTGGTAGTACCGCTGGTGGGGCCGGCCAATCCTCACCCCAGCTGCAGATGTCTTTGCAGCTGGGAAGATCCTAGTAGCCAGTCTCTGGTCGAGAGCAAGATTGAGGGAGCCCCATCCAACGCCCTGACCACATGGAGACCACACACGTCACACATCCGCACACACCCTACCCCATCCAACTTCCATTTGGCCCACTGCAATCCGAACAAGGGGCCAACCAAGCAATTCTGTAAATGTCTGCGGTATGGGATCATTTTCATCCATTGATATCCATGGCGCATTGTATAACTGTTTGCTAGGTTCCCCAGCGATTTATGCCATTTGCCAGCTCGTCGACCAAGGTTCGACACAGATGGTGATGGCCGCATCTCTCGCCAGGCTGCCGTGTGAAAAGTGCACCATGAATGGCATGACGCAGTAACGGTACAAACATACACTACCCGTGTTTCTTGCACAGGGTTTCCAATGGTGTATATACATGTTTGATTGTTTGTGGTATGGAATGTGAGTCGCGGTGTGTACTTTGTTGTGTGCATTGTTCACCGTCCCTCGGATCAGTTGTACGATTCGATAGGCTATGGCAACGTTGCACCACGCACACCTTTATTGCTTCTCCGTTCATCCAGCGTTTGGAGCAAATTCCAAGTTTGGTTTGTGAAAGTGAGTCCGAGTTCACGTTCTTCCTAAACACTTGTTGGTCGTTTTTCTTTTCATCTCTCCTTTTCTTCGTGTTCTATATCTAAATAGAATGGCCTATTGTTAGTCGGGTCTTGGAACTCTGAGCTGATTTTTTTTTTTTTTTTTTTTTGTGAAGATTCCTTATGAAAAGGACGTATAGTGAACTATATATATATACACCCTCCAACAGGCTGCTGGCGCCCTAACAAGTGGTTTCTGAGTTGTCACCTGGAAACGCCTGTCATGGTACATATGCACCCATCAACACAGTGCCAAAATGTCCGCAGGCACTCTGGAATTGATTTGCAAAACATGAAGTGTTTACCCTTGTACGATGAATATTACGAAACCTCACCCGCTGCTGCAATAGAATCCACCACTGAGCCCCTGTGTTTCCTTTGCCTTCCGTGTTTCCTTTCCAACAGGCAGTTCCCAGACCTGACAAAACTCTCAGGACTTGATTGCTTGTTTCAAGATCCACCCAGGGTCATTACCCACCCATGATCCTTACTTATGATGTCCAAAAGTTGGTGCCCACGAGACTTGATCCATGCCTGTCGTTTTTCTTTTTGTGCACACTCCCTGACATTGTCAGGGAAGTGGAGTTCACCACCTGCTTCGAGAGAGAGAGAGAGAGAGTGCTCCTCCACAAACCGATTTCCCTATCCACGATTCACCATGAAGAAACATGGAGTGTCGCGGTCTATTTTCACCTCGTGGACCGGGACCACTCCAGGAGCTCAGCTCTGGTCTCTCTCGCGGCCTGGGCCGCCCCTTGAGGCGTTTCGGTCGGACAGCAGTTTTTCGGAAGAGGCAACACCCAAATCACGCGGATTCGATGTTTTTCTGCCCCGACATTAGAGGATGCAAGAGGAATATCTGCAAAGGCAAGTTGGTTGGTGTTTCCCAAGTTGAAGGTTCAACCTTGACTTTCCAGGATGAATCCCATCAACCTACTCGTCAGGTGGTTGGAAGCCACCGCTGAATCAGGTGTTAGATCCAGCGGATCGATGCTTAGATCCAGCTGGTCGATGCTTAGTCAGTGTCTATGCAACCAGGATAGAGGCTTGAGAGAAACCAGGACGAGCCCTAAAAAGTGTAAGGGTGGATTTACTTAGCAGGCCAGCATAGGCCAGCCATTCTGCTCAATTGCTGGCAGCTGCAAGGCTTCCATAGCAGCGTTCGGGGTTGTTGTTCAATTTCTTGGCCTGGAAACTGAAAGCCCTGAAGCATGCTGGGTTGAACACGCCCTGGCCAGTTGCACACGCCCCTTTTCAGGTCTTTGTTTTGACATGTTTTTGAAGTCTTTTCAGTACGACTTGGAGCCACGACCACTTCGGGTACGGCTGACTGAGACAGCCTTCCGCCAGGTGATCCAGGTTTTGAACAGATCCTGGCAGGCGGCACGCCTGTTTGCAGAGTGTGAACTGAACACAATCTCCAGTTTGTATATATATATATGTATATATCTGTAAAACGTATTGTATGCATTATTTAGCATATAAGGTCAATATATAGGGGGTTGCGTTCTTCAACCTACAAACCGGAAGACTGTCAAACATGTCAAGCCTTTTGTGCACAAAGGACGCAGGCTGCAAGGGGGGTAGCAGCTCCTGTGACACTTTCTTGGATGATATTTGCCCATTGAAGTGAGCGGTGTTGTGTAGAGCGCGCGCCTACATGGTTGATAATGACAATGGTCATGCCCATCCCACACTAGATTCTGAGGGATATACGACCTTTTGAAGCACTTAGACACTCCCACTTTGGGTGTCAGCAGTAGGTCTGTGGCAGGTACAATAGATCGGTTTGCGTCGTGCTTCACCATCGCGACCAACTACGAAGCACCGACCTCGTGGTCGTCTTTCGCGGTCGAGACCGGGGGGAGAGGTGCTTTGCTGCGCTGATCTCTGGGCTTTGCAGATGTTGAGAGTCTTTCTGATTTAGCGAGTCTTGCGGTGAAAAACTCGGTTCAACGACCCTATAGTGGTGTATATATATATATATGATATGTATAATTTATGAATCAGACCCGTTCGATGTACCAGAACATATGGCGTTTTTACTCATTGTTTCGCCTTGATTTGCTAAAGCAGCCGCTTTTGAATTTGAGACTGGCTGAGGTGGGAGAAGTCTTGGTTTTCCACCTTGTGACATGCTCTGGGCTGTGCGCAGAAGTCGGAAAAGACATGAAAAGACCGTGCAGAATGCGGATTTGGGTCGAGTTTGTTTTTGCGCTGAGTTTGTCTGATGATTTGTTCGGACACGTTGTGACTGCGAAGAGATTACTGTACCGGGAAACGCCTCGAATTTCATTGTGATTATAGACGTCCTCTCTTGTTCACGATATACCCACGGGTCAGCAGAAAGAAACACCAACCGCATGTTGGCGGAAACCGGCAGACGCGCTCAGATGTGAATCCAAACGCGCTCCGCCGGCTCGACGACATCTCGGGCGCTGTCCTGAGGTGGTGAAGACGACGCCCCTGGGCCCCGACAACTGCGAAGCGTGGCGGTTTCAACGGAGGGGGTAGGGGCTGGGCGTTAATGGTCAGCCAAAAGACCAAAACGATATGACACGAGTTTTAGTATAATACGTGTTAGAGAGGATTTACAGTAGGATTTACATATTCTTTTAATTTGTTTGGGGGACTATACCTTTACTTACTTTTAGATTGATTGTAAGGGTCAGTGGCAAGTCATCAGTTGATAGGTGGTTCATTTGAACTCTTTGAAATAATACTATCGGTCCTTTCCTTCATCTCTCAGCCAGGGTAGGCTACTTGGTTGAAAGCGAGGCAGCAGCGCAGCGGCGCAGGGTAAAGAGAAGAGGAGAGAAGAGCAAAAGATACATACGAGACAGAAATACATAAAGATAACAAGCAAGAGAAGGACAAAAAACACACGAAATTAAAGGATAGAATCAAGATACCAAGAGGAAGATCAAGAGTCAAAAGAAAGGAGAGGAGTCGGAACAAGAGAAAAGGGCAAACTCCTTTTCATTCTGATGCCTCCGTCCCACTTGTACCAGCTGACCGAGATCCTGTGACCGGGGGGCCGAGATCCTCATGCGGGAGGACGTGGATGTTGGTTGTGGGAAGTCGGGTGCAGGTGCTTATCTGTGCTTCCCTTTAGGAGAGAAAGCCAGCACCCAACTGCTTTGGCTCATAAGCACCTATATATAAATGTTTACGAGAAGGCTCATACATTTGGCCTGCTTGGGCGTTGAACAGGATTGCCGTTTTTTCAAGATCGATCGTTTTCTATGCAGAGTGAGAGGGAGAGAGAGAGAGAGAGAGACGTTTTGACTGGAGGTAGAACAGAGCTCTCACATTACCCTTCTTCAACTGACAGCTTTCCCAAACTTTACCGGAAGACATATCCAACTTTGAGGCAAACTTTCAGGAACTAAAGATACAACAGAGATGCGTTTGACATGGTTTTTATCCACAAGCCCTGATGCTCTTGGCTTGCGAGCTGATCACCACTGGATTGTGCACATGTCGGGCGACTGTTGAAGCTTGAAAAAGTACATCCATGAGTGGGATCTAAAGCATTTTATCTACACACTGTGAAATATGTTGTTGCATTTGTAAAGTCAACCAATGTTTGCTGGTTTGTTGGTCTTCCATGGGGAGGAATCAGCACTCCAAATCCACTGCTTTTGAAGCGCAGGAGACTCCTTGAGGGCGTGGGTCATGCATGGCTGCATGGTCATTGCTAGCGCTGAGGGTTCATCATGCCAGCCTTCCTCATATCGAAGTGGGTGAATCATAGTGAATCAGACCCAAGAGCTAGTTGTTTGGATCTCTGAAACTCTCCCCCAGATTGTAGCTCTTGGATTTCCCAAACCCTAAGCATGGCTTGGCCAACAAGTTGACCATTGTATTCTAGAGGGAATGATGTTCAGCGCGAGTCACCTCCAGGGACAGGTCAATGAACTGTGCAAAGGGTGTTCCGAACTTCGTGCCTGGTGGTCGCAGGTGGACCCTCAAGAGCAGAGGTAACCCATGGCAACCTGACGCATCGCTTTCTGATTTGTATGTTCGTTTCAGGGCCGAACCTGCTGGATGTGATCTCATGTTGAAACCTGACGCATCCTGACGCATGGTCCAGGACGTACAAAAAAAGCCGGGCGCTTGTAGAGTCTACGAACCAGAAACTGCTGCATTTCAACCATAAACCTCCTAACATCTCTTTCACAGCTGGTTGAAGTCAGTTTCTAGTAGCTTTTGGAGGGCCATTGCCTTATTTTGAACATGCACCCAAAGGATGACTTCCTTTGGCCAACAGCAGGTTTCCCAAGACCATTTTCAGCTTTCAGGGCCTTTGTTTCATGGGGCATGTGACCTGCTGGTGCTTGTGAACAACTTCTTCACCCGTTCCCGCCAAACTCCCCAATCGGCACCACAGAGGTCTCTGCCAGGTTGATGATTTGTGTTGCACGGACTGCCACATGATGGATGGTGTGACCCGAGCAAATCGCCAGCGCATGTGCTTGGCCGAAATCAGGGCCGAGAGCGACTCAGTCCGGTTCGGGCGCCCGAAACACCAGTGCGCCCTTTGCGTGTTAGGCCCTAGGCAAAGACGGCTCAGAGTGTACCTGGTCATCCAGCATTATAAAGAACATCTATATATAATTATATATATATATATTATATACATATATATTTTTTGTATCATATCATATCATAATATATTTACTGTATATGTATATTTATAGATAGCGGCGCTTGGGGCGGTTTTCCATCTCAAAGGTGACTGGAAAGGTATAATATAGATGAAGGATGGACGATTTTCGTGCTTGTGAAGGTGCCGATGAACATGCATTCTGTGGGAATTCTTTGCGATGTTGCGGGCATGGACCACTTGTAACTTGTATGCTTCCCAGTAGGACGCTCCTTCCTTTTCACTCTTCCCGGAAACAACCTGGAACATCTCCGTCTCATGTGAGTCTCCAATCTCTTTGGGCGAAACGGATGATGCGATCTTTGAATCTCAAATCTGGCGCTCCTCAATCTCTAACCCTAAAGGATTCGTCGATCCGTGGAGGATACCAGATCAGGTCCGCCAGGTGCCTAGGTGCCTTTCGGGCCGCCAAAGACTGACTTGGAACACTCCGGAAGCGGAGAAAAAGCCGAGCGATCCTGGCAAGGCCATCACATTGAAATATGTTGACATCAATTTTGCCAGACGCAGGGGGAAGACAATTAAGCACATGCGGTGTTTTTTATTTTTGGTCAACAGGTCATCATCGAATCTTGCTGGATTGGACCAGATCTGGGGTTGGGATTGTATATTTGAGCCGCTCATTCCGGACCACCAGTAGCAAGAGAAGTAGATCATAGTAGACCAACTCCTGGATAGGCTATGTGCTGCCGTTTGTCACCAAGACCATACCTGTTGGATTGTCTGACCATGGAGATGCTCAAACATGTCACCAGTAAAGGCCAAGATGCCTAAGTTGCTTACAGGTCGCAATGAAAGGGGAGTGGAGCCTGCCAAGTTGTGCTTCAAATCTCGAGATTTGCACCGAATTGTTGGGGGGGTTCAAGAGTCAACACGAAAGCAAGCTGTACGTAGTCTCTTCTGCAACCTTGGGGGCCAGATCGATCCATCCTTGGGACCAGATCGATCCACCATCTCCTTGATTCTATACTTCGACCAGACCTGCTATTCTGTCACAGGGTGAATGGACCGAACGACTTCGCCCTGAAATTCGAAACAAGCAAAGAGGGCATTTATACATGGGGTTCACCCAATAGTTCCAGGGTGAACTGTTTGTGTTTTTTCATGTCATTTCTGGTGTACCTTCGAATAGGGAGACCCAGATGCCAGATCCCACAAAAGACACCACGACACAGACGATTTGCTCCACCTCAGCTTTGAGTCGACGCCAGGTGCAGCCGTCGAGTCCAGCAACGAAGGCGTTCGTTTGAAAACCTACGGGCGGGATCTGAGGGATGGCGGGGCTTCACCCAATCGACCGGGGAACGACGGGAACGCGGAACGCGTGCCTTCTGTCGGCGTGTCTTCTGTGCGGAAGCGGGGAAGCAGGGATGGCATGCTCAAGATCTACGAACAGAATATATACTGTACACAGAATTGCTAAGAAGAACTGTGAAGAAGCCACTTCACGGCTTAGCAATTCTGTGCGTTCTTCATGAAGAAGCCTCCAAAAGGGCTTGAAGAACAAATCGAAGCTTGAAGACCTTGCCACTCTTGGAGTCAGCGAAGGATCAATTCAAGAATTGGTCGCAAGTTTAAGCGATATCAAGGAAGGGCTTTGGGGAAGAGAACATGTCGAACACACGGGTGCGGAGGAAAGACTTAGAGCGAATCCATGGTATATATGAATTGGAACTCAAAAGGCTTAGCCCAGTGGTTTACAGATGTTTACAGTATCACAATGACAGCAACTGCAAGGCTCATCCATGCAGTGCAGCCTGTAGCCAGAACAATCATACAATAAATAGAGATAGATAGTAGGTACATTGTTGGAGATGTTTGTTTGGCAACCCTTTGTGCCACCGTGCCACCAATATTTTTGAACATTCACAACTCACCAAAGCCACCTACCCACCCACGCTCTGTCGTTGCATCTTTCAATTTGCACACCTCAGCCAAAAGAACATTATCAAACATGCAAACCCTATTTATTCACACACATATATATACATATACATACACACACGTATGTAACGTATGCATAATATATGCACATATCTACAAGCGCGTTTCCATCCATGGCACGCTTCAGCCACCCCCGGCTGCTGCCCTATGCACTGCTCGTTGCCCTCGCTGGTCTCCCACGGCCTCCCCCGGCCTGGGCAGTGCCGAGCGGTGGAGCCACGGCTCGCGGCGCTGGCGTGGGGAGCGCGCTGCTGGTGCACCCGGATGTGGGGGTGCCGGCGATGGCGCGGGGCCACGTGGTTTGGAAGGGGAGGAGTATTGGTTTGGGAACAGCATTATAGGCGATTATAGGGCACCTGTCAAATTTGAATCCACTGTCAAAGATGAAGAGTTCGCATGACGCATGAAGAATTTCAAGCTGAATTCTGTTCCAGACTCACCCTTCGGTCAAGTGAGAGTTTTTAGCTGATGTTACCATCAGTCCACCAAGCTTGGGGATCTCTAGTCAGGCTGTGAGAAGGGGGACCCCAAAGGGAGAGGTCTTCCTGGTCTTCCCGTGAGAAGCCGAGGCATTGTCCCCGTGAGCTGGCGGGAGTTTGGGAAGCAGCTGGCGCGGCGCTTGCAGTGGGATGTGAACCAGACCAGGGATGCAATCTCCATGCATGTCATGGCCTTGTCGCAGTTTTGCACTCAGCTTGGGAGGCGGGTGAACTGAAAACACAGTTAAACAGCTGGAAGTCGGTGGAAGTGAGGGTGAGGAGCCTTCAGTCAGAGTTTTGTGTGACCCTCCAGGACACGTCCCATATTTTCCAGTTTTTGTCCTATTTGTTGCCCTCGACTTGACCATTTTTGATGCGAGATGGATGCACATCCAGCCATCCAGACCCACACACCTTGCACGTTCTCTGTCCTCCCCTGCGGTGTCACTAGAGACGCCGCTTAAAACCGGTGGTTTCGGGCGTCTCTCTGTGTGCGCCAGGGGTTTGAACGCCTCCTTAGTGCTTGGCATCGACTGGCCGAAGGACCTGCCATGGCGCTGTGCCGATCTGCAAAGGCCACTGGAGAAGATCCCCACCAGGCGACTCGTGGGACGAAGACTTTTCGGGCGTTTCCCGGTGGGTTTGGTGTTTGGGCATGGATGGGCATGGTCTGTTCTTCGGTTCTTCTGAAGACCAGCCGCACGCATAGTAAAAAATATTCTTTACAAAAAAAAGGTGACCACTGGCAGAACTTGGATCCAAATCCGCTCCTTTTCTCCACAGAGGTGCCCATTTCACCAGAGGGGAGGTGTGACCTGTTGATAAACCCGCTGACAACCATGTTGCTTTTTGCCGAGGCTATTTTACAACAGCTCCTCCTTGGCATTGGCCGAGTTTCCCTCCAGCCACCTGGCGACGCAGCGGAAGGCACGGAAGGTGCAGAAGCGGGTGCTGCGCCTCCTAGGGCGGAAGACGGAGGAGGAGATCGGCATGACTGACCGCCCAGTCATGGCCCAAATGGCCTGGAAAGTAGCTGGCAACAGATTCTAGAAAGTAACATGGGAAGTGTCAACCAACCATGTGTTAAGATCAGCCTGGAACTCGGGCGGCCTATGAATGTGAGAAGGGAACACACAGTGGAGGACAGGAGGGCACTGATTCAGACGTCCTTCAGTGGTTACACTTGGTGAGTTCCAGATGCACTATTTGCGGGATGCCGTTCTGGCCGGGATGAATTGGACTCCATCCGCTTGTTGGGATTTGTTTGGGCATGGTCGAGGTCGCCTCGGGGCCTCCAAGCGTTTTGATCGGAGGAGCTTATTTGGGCATTCCTACTCCTCACAGACAAGCATTTGGCCAAGGCCTTTGAGTTGCAGCATGAGTATACAATATCATATAGCTAGCCGTTGGCTGAGAATTCCTAACTATGACAAAGGCGCATTCCATGATGCGATACATTTCAAGAAAGGAAGGATATTCTGGTGCCTTGCTGTGAAAACAGGACTTCTTGGCGTGTTTTCAGGGTGTTGCTAAGACTTGCAGACAGTGCATCGGCTGCTGTAAGAGGATCAACCAACCGTCGGATCTGGATCCGGTACTCAGGTGTGTTCACCTTAGTTGGGGTTCCCACCAGCCTCCCGGCACCACATCCTCCCAGGTGCAGGCTGTCCAAGAGCAGCTTCCACATCCACACCCAGGGTCACTGGCGCGAGCCGCAGCGCTTTGTGGACCCCAGTTCTTGGCGTGTGGGGTGAGTCCTAGCTGCACCTGGGCTCTAGTTGAGGCGTTCTAGATGGTGTGCCATTGGTCAATCATTTGCATTGAAGATGTCCTCATGAAGACGATTGCACATAGTCGAAACAGTTTCATGTTGAATCCATTGGCAAATCTTTTGGGCCATTGTCCTCTTGGGGCTTATTGCCGACACTTAGCTAAAAGAAAAAGAGATGAGTAGTGAGCAGTGAGCTAGCGCAGGAGACCCGGTGGTATTTGCATGGAGATTTGAGGTTTCTATATAGATTGTCTGGCTAGTTTCGCGTAAGCTGCATAGCATGTTGCTTACTGTAGGCTTGGCTTCACCAGTTCGACACTAAAAGCTTGCATCTTTTTATCGGCACACCCGACTCAACAGATTTCTGGATCAGGAGGAACAAACATTGCAGTTTCAGTGCAAGTCATGCTGACTCCAAGGCATGAAAGGCCTCTTTTGCATTGCTCTGTGTCATTTGGATGACCAGACGTGTGCCTACAAGTGCCTCCTGAAGTATGAAAGCTGGTTGATCTCCAAATTCTCCGCCTGCGCTTTCGAAAAGCAGCTTCTTGCCCTTGTGTCAGCTCCTCAGGGCTCCAACTGCCTCCTGAGAGGGGGTTATCAGGTCAATTCTTGATCATTTTCACCATCCTCTGGGCAAACTTACGGCTCTTGGGTGCCAGGGGAGCTAAGACACCAAACATCACCCAATTGGATTTCGATTCTTGTTGCTTCATCCGTCTTCCTCCAACATGATCGAACTCGCCGGGACCGGCCAAAGCCTGTTTCCTTTGGGACATGCGCCAGGGTCCCGACCTTGAGGGGGGGATCGGTGATGCTCAGAACGGCGAGAGTTGGCTGTGGGGAGGTGGCACCGGGACCGCTGAAGTCCGGGGTAGGTGGTAGTCTGTTCATTTTCGGAGGCCAACCAGGGTGTCCCGGTGCCATGACCCACAGCCATTTCGACTCAACTTCCATTAAACTTCCATGGCGGCCGGCTCATTCCCCTGGAGTCTCGGGGTTGGAACCATTGATGCTTCGCGAATGTTTCCAGGAAGCCACGTTTTTTTGGGAGTGTCAAGCACCTAAAAATTCTGGGCACTTAAGAGCGATGATGATTTGGTCCTGGACCTGGGGTTGCAATACACTTTAGGTGGATAGACTCCTCGGGCAAACCCATTGGACGCCCCAGCAAAAAATAGACTCCACGGACCGGCCTGGCGTGATTCATATATTAACAGTCGGTAACAATTATCACATATATGATCACTATGTTTACTAGTTTTACTATTTTTTAAAACAAGGCCTTTACTCACCATATCTAACTATCATCATCATCATCATCATCATCATCATCATCATCATCA